GGAAACTCATGTTTGCTCGATGACTGCCAGAGGTTGACTAGTGGCTCATCGCTGCTGAAACACGGCCTTATAAACACTTGGCTACCATTGATAAGTCTCAGATTATGTAACAAAATACACCAGTACATTGTGTCTTTCACAACAGAGCAGTTGCAAAATTATACTAACAAAACAAATGAATTCGTTAAATTTAAATTATGGATATTTACCTTGAATAAAATGGAACAGCCCACACTATGTGTACTGGGAAAGTTGGTTTTCCCCTTGCCGGTAACTACACTGTGGTTTTCCCCAAGTCCAGTAAACACTGATACTGTAGTTTAGAGTTGTTTCACCTTTTGAAATCTTTCATAGACCCCGTTTTATAAGATAGTTATTTTGCCTTTCAAAACCCTCCAGCCCAGCAATTTTGAAAGCTTTTAAAAGGTCTGACAATTCTATGACAAAATGGCCAGTGCATAGGTAGTTCAAAGGACTAATTCATGGCACGGAAAATAACAGTCAATTTTGTTCTGAAATGTAATTCCATTACCGCGGAATTGCCCTACTGCCTCAATCCTTCATACTCTTCTGGCAATTCCTCTGAGGTAACCTTTCAACATCCCAATCAGGTGAGGCATTGCGAAGGGCACTCTTGAGCAATGCGGTTGATTCAGAACAAATATTGGGCTGAGTACATGTATGAATGAGCAAGAACAACACAAGGTCTAACTTATGACCTTAACTAATGGCATCCTTCACAATCGGCCATGCACTTTTGCCATTCACCCTCAATCCTCAAAAATTCTCCAAAACCGCCCAAAGGATTTTGGAGAATTAAGAAGGATTGGGGTTAAGGAATATATCAAATATTGTCTTCTGCCATGTCTGCTGCATAAACTTGTAGGCCTATTGTATCAGCAAATTTAGGGTGAACAAATCACAAACTGTTGTGCATCATGTAGACTGCAAACGTCATTTCGGTGCAGTTGAAAAGTGCCAAACAAAGGAACATCCCGACAGAGAATCAAATGCGCCACTGGAAAAAGGCACACGGGAAGCGTATGCGGAAGAATCGGCCATAAGTGAATTGGAAGGATTTCAAAGCAAATCAGATGCTTGATAACACCTCAATCAAACAAAAGTTAAAAAATATTGGCCAGTTCCAAATAACCTTCATTTTACC